AGAGAGAGAGAAAGAGAAAGACGCTTTTTGCCTGGAGCAACCCTGGTACCTGGAAAACCAGCCGCTACTGTCTAGTGCAGCCACATCTCTCTTTAGGGCAGGATCTGAGCGTGCCGGCAGCCTCCCGATCTCCGCTGGGGTTAGTTTATTTTTATTTTTCCTCCTCTCCTGACATGCTGCTGGTGTGGCTAAGTCCTTGATCTCTCCCTGCCCGCGTCCTGGGGCTGCAGCATCCCTTTTGCAGGTGGGGCGGTGACCGTGATAGCTGTTTCTGTCATGCATTAAAGCTCTCTAGACTCCGCGGGAAGGAAGAGGAGGAAGACAGAGGCGCGGCAGTGGCGGCCCTAACGTTCGAAGAAAGCCAAGAGCCAGCAGCTAGAAGAGGAAACAACCGCCAGTGACACCAGGACACTTACCTACGCGAGCCAGGAGCCAGGTCTTTGCACACCTGGCAGACAGCCCGTAGCCCGAGTCACGGCGCTCCCGGGTTCCCAAAGGAGCAGCCGGGGAGGAGGCAAGCGCGCTGCCGGGAAGGTTGCCTGCCTAAAACCCAGCTCTGTCGGGCAGTGGCCATGCAACCTGCACCCACGGCACCAGCCTCTTCCTAGCAAAGCCCGCGGGACACCGTCTCCAAAAGGGATGCTGCAGCACGCCCAGAGAGACCCTATGAGTTGGGATGGCGATGGCGGGGAGGGAGTCAGAGGGAGCAGGTGAGGCAGGGTGGGGGAAGCCAGGAGGGGGCCGGGGGGGCACCGCGGGGGCTCATGCACTTACCCCGTGGTGGCTACCGTGGTGGTGGATGTCGGCTCCGGTTGGAGAATCTCCTCATCGGCCCTCCCTGGAGACGGGATGTCTCCGAAAACATCCATGGTGTCCACAGGCAGGGAGGAGCCCTGGGAGCCAGGATAGCCGGTGGCCAGGGAGGTGAAGGCGGTGGTAGGTCGGTAGCTGGGGCTGCCTCCCCGGCTGCTCGGCGCGGGGGATCCTGTCGATGGCGTGGACTTGCGGGAGAAGCTGACCGCCGCAGGGGGCTGCAGGGTGATCTCCGACACCTCCGCCTGCTGGATGAGGCCCGGCCGGGGCCGGGCACGGGCGGTCAACTCCGGGGAGCTGTTGCGGGAGCTGAGGGGGCTTTGGGTCAGAGGAGAAAGCCTCGAAGGTTGTAGCACCACCTGATGTAAACTGGGCTCAGCCCTCCTGACCTGCCGAGGGCTGGGCCGAGGTCGGGGTTGGGGCTCGTACCACCTGGTGTCCAGGCTGAATGTGCTTGTGCCGCTGGGGCCGACGGGCTCGGACGGTTCGTGGTAAGGCAACACGGGTATGCCCATACCTTGGCTGGTATGTCTTAGCTGCCCTTGACATCCCATGGGTTGCATAGGTTTGTCCTGCCACTTGGTGGTGGTGGGCACAGAGGGTTGGCCCCTGCCGGGTGACTTGCCGGTCCAGCTCTTTGGTGCCTCCAGGGGCAGGATGCCCGGGTAGGATGCGGGGACCACCTGGAGAGAGGAGGGGGGCGGCCCCCGAGGAAGGCAGCCGGTGGGCTGGGTGCCCTCGGCTGCCTCACAGGGCTGGAGCTGATGGGGGAACGGCGCGGGGGCTGGCTCCAGACCACCGAAGGGGAACTCTGCCCTGCCCCAGGGCTCGGGGGACCGGCCCCCCGTGGGGGTCTGGGCCAGGGGCAGCGTGCTGTTGGAGGCATTCTCCCCGTTCTCCTCGGGGATGGTGGGGTGTCCGAAGGGCCCCTCGGGGGGCAGCGGCGGGGAGGACATGACCGAGCTCAGCGGGCTGACTTCTGGCATGTAGAAGGGCGGTGGGTCCACCTCCCCGGGGCTGCTGCTGCTGAGGTAACCGTAAAACTGGTGGTGGAAAGCCCGGGGGGCCGGCGGGCGGGCCTGGCCGGTGGCCTGCAGGGCGCCAGGACCCTCCAGCGCCCGGTGGAACCGGGGGCTGTATGCTGGTGGCTGAAGGTAAGACTCCTGGCTGGAGGAGAGAGGGGTGAGCTGGGCTTTCAGGGCGGTGACGGAAGCGGGGACGACAGGGTCGTCGTTCTCCTCATCCGACTGCCTGAACTCGGGGTACATGTCCGTCTCCTCCACGAAGGGGAAGCCCTCGATCCGCCGCGTCTTCAGGGAGGGCTCCATCTCCGCCGGGTCCATGACGAAGCGGCCGTCCGGCCCGCGGCTGATGAGCTCGATGGGGGTGGTGGCCTCGGCTTCAGCCTCCGCCTTGGAGACGCTGTACTTCTTGCTGCTGATGGCTCGCTTGGTCTTCTTGTAAAGAGAGAGCTCTTTCTCCTTGGTGGGGCTCAGCATCCGCTTGGCCTGCGGGCCCTGGTCGTCAGAGGACTCCGAGGGGGGACGGAGCGTGCGGATGCTCTCAGGACTCACCTTGCCGGAAGACAACCTGGACCACAGGAGAGAAAAACCAAGAGAGGGGACGGTCACCTGGAGGGGAAATGAGGTCTTCTCGCCCAGAACCACCACCGGCCATAACTGGAAAACAAAGCCCTGCCAGCTCTCAAAAGAGGAACCACTGGGAGAAATTGGGGGGGGCTAATCAGGACAGCAGAGCCTTGCCCTGCGGCCATGGCACAGGCCAGAGGACCAGTAGCAGCACACATCATCCCCACTCCTCAGGAGCAGAGCTCGGCACGCTTTGCATCCCCCCAGGGCAGGCAACTCATGCTAATGCCTTGGAGCATTGCAACAACCTCCATGGCCCCAGCAGGACAAGAGACAAGATCCAGAGCTCACAACTCCTTCAAAAGTTTCCTATGTTCACCTGAGCTATCCACACCTGGGAAAGCCCCCGAGAGGAGGGACATCAGGCAAACATCCCCTCCCGCAGAACATGCCATCTCACTTGCAGATGCTGACGGATCATTCCAAACCAACTTTTCCCCTGCTCTCAACACTCAAATTTAAGGCTGAGTGCCTCAAAAGGCAGAAAGCATCAGAATAATCCACTCATCCCCATCCAGAAAGCCTCAAACAAACAGGATTGCAGGGCAAAAGGTAGCAGATCCAACAGAGATTGTGCAGGCACAGTTATTTCAGTGCAGTGGATGAACCAAAAAAAGCAAGATTAAGATCCACCAGCACTGGGACATTTTGCAACAGTCCAGGAGCCAAAGCATGAGGCATCCACATCTTAGACTCCTGTGCTCCCACTGGGAAGATGCTCCCGCTGATTAGCAGCTATATGTGCTTTTGATGGGCTCTGCAAGGAGCTGTGGCTAGTGCAGCACCACAATCCACCACCTTGGGGCACATGTGGAAAGAGGCTTCAGCGAGGCACTCTTCATGGGAAAAGAAGAGATACAGGTGTGAGATTCTCAGAATTTCCCAAGAAAAAAAAACAGAGCCAACAGAGAAAGGCTCAAAAACTACACCGAGCTTGCGCAAAGGACTCCATAGGCAGCAGGCTAGCCCTTCTCCTAAGGGGCCCCTTCAAGCTGGGTGTGTAATTGAGTTCCACCAGTCAACTCCAGCTTTGGTCAATGTCCACAGATCCAACGGGGTCGTCTCTTAGCTTAAAGTTTGCTGCATTTGTCCCTGCTGCTTTCTGCTCCATAGCCCACTTGTCTCTTATGAACCATTGTGTTCCCACAAGTTCAGGGAACACCCGAAACAACTCGTCAGAAGCAACCAAACAAGGTCAGACATTTCCATGTGAGCCTTGCGACAACTGTAGGAAGGAGGCACCTTGAAGACCCACAGCCTGGTGCCACATCTAAGACAGATACTTACGGGGACTCCAAACTCTTCCTGCAGTGGGTTATCGAGAGAGGAGGGTCTGGAAGAGAACAAAAAGGGGAAAGAAGAGAGAACGCTAAGGAGGCGCAACACGACAGAGATAAGACAAACTCAGTATCAAGACAACAAAAGACACTCAACAAGAGGCCAAGGTTTCATTGCTCCAGTGCTTTAATGGTTGCTGACAACAAACAGCTCCCGTCACAGGGTCCTGCCCATCCTGCTGCCGCAGTCTCACAGGCTAGAGGAGAAGGAGCCGATTCCCCTGCCCTCTCCAGCTCCCCAGCCACCCTTTTCCCTACCGGCCGCTCCTGCATGGCGACTGCAGTCCCAGCTTTCGGGAAGCAGAGCGGCAGGGTCTCCTTTGCGGGGGTCTTCTCTAGCCTAGTGCGGCCGTCGGGCACTGCCCGCTCCAGGCTGGGCAGAGCTGGGCAGGAAACAGCTGGAGAGCCCAGCTCCGGGGGGACCTCGAGGAGGTGAGCGGTCCCCCCCATCTCTGGCCCAGAGGACACCCCAGCCCTAAACCCCCGGTTCTAGGAGTTATCACCACACGAGAGCGCTCCCTGGGAAATCCCAGGCTAGTTTCTCTGTCGCCTCTTCACCCACCCTGCCTCTCCCGCTCCCGACCACGGGCGCTTTCAGGCACAGCCGAGGGATGAAGTCAGGGCTTCACCTGAGGACGCGCACAGACGGAAGAAGAGACAGACAGGGAAGAAGGTTACCACCACAACACAACCAGGGAGGAGAAATGAGGAGGAGGCGGGAGGGAGGAAGGAAGCACACCGGGGACGGGCTCACCTTTCTTGCGCTTGAGCTTGCGTTTGCGTTGCTTGTTGACGAAGCAGGCGGCGAGTGTGCTGAAGAGGATGGCAGCAGCCAGGAAGCAGATGGTGGCAACGATGCCAGCCAGCACTGGGCGGGCTAGACCCTCATCCGTCACGTCAGGCGGAGGGAATACGTCTGGGGGAAAAACACGATAATTAGGTGTTATGCACACACCCCTGCCTGCTGCCTTCCCCAGGGACCTACCACAGCGTGAAGGCAACTGGTACCAGGAATGATAATCTCTAAGTAAAGACCCTGCTGCTGCCAGCCCAGCCCACCTGGCTGCTGCAGGCCACTGCCAAGGGATTTAGCGACCTTGCACCAGATAAACCTTTTTGCCTTAGCTGATGGACCCCCAGGGAAGAAGCCTCCATGCCACACAAATACACATTCATGTACACGCGCACACAACTGCACCAAACCTGCAGTTATCTCCCAGCCCAATAACCCGCTGCAGCTCAGGCTGTAGCAGCATAAGGTATTTTCCCCGTGCATCAGTGCAACATACTTCAGCTCTTCAATGAAAACTGGGCTCCGAACCCTCATCACACCCCTTCGCTAACCACAAATGCATCTGAACCATAAGCAGACCTCAGCTGCAGCTACCTGCAGATGCAAACCCTGCACACACCAGCGCTCCTGCCGTGCACTCACACGCGGGGTCAGCGCTCATTCGCCTGCTGGGAGCACCGGCTTTCAGCCTGGGAGGGCAGCCGCCTGGGGCTGGGGTGCACACAAACCCTGCGGGCCTTGCCAAATCCCATCAGAAAAATTGTGCGAGAGGAGCAAGGGCAGGCAAGCAGGCTGCCTGCAGCAAAAGCAGGCTCTCCGCACCGCGCCGGCACCACTTGGGGGCAGAGAGAGACCGCTGCATTCC